TCTTTTTCATGTGCATTGCTAGATAAGAGCGTCGGAATAATGTATTCATTACATAGTTTACATGCGACAACAATGGAAATAATTGCTGGTTGTACGTCGTCCCGACTCTAACAGACGATAACACGTTTGATTTACTAACTAACTTTGTTGTTTTATTCATAAAGTCGAGCTAATAACCCTCGTGTATGTGTATATACGTATGTGTGCGAGATCAGAGATAGTGTTTGGTCGACTCACATGAAAGGCGTATTTACTGTCCATACCACTAAACAACTAGCTACATTATAGCGTATCATACTGATACGAAAGATCGGTAACTACCGGATACATTAGAATGAAGAAATGTTTTTTTATGCTTAGTAAAGTAAATTAACACTACATTTATAGTAGTATTTATCACATGAAAGGCGTATTTACTGTCCATACCACTAAACAACTAGCTACATTATAGCGTATCATACTAATACGAAAGATCGGTAACTACCGAATACATTAGAATGAAGAAATGTTTTTTATGCTTAGTAAAGTAAATTAACACTACATTTATAGTGGTTATTTACTATTTCTTATTTAGGAATACATTTTTTTAATTAAAATAGTCGGAAATGAGTCCAGGGGTATTAAGGTCAATGGAAAGCCGATTAATAATATCAGATATGCTGACGATACTGTTTTATTGGATCCCACTATGGAAGATCTTCAAGAACTGCTAAATAAGATAAATAGTGTGGGACAACAGTACGGGCTGCATATTAATACCTGAAAAACAAACACCCTGATGATTAGTAGACAAATCCAAAATGTTAACCTCACTGTAAGGGGCTTGTGAGATCATTGATCAGGTGGATAGGTTTAAATATCTCGTCTCTGTTGTCAATAACAAATGCGACGAGGAAATTAAAATTAGAATCGGCATGGCCAAAACATTGTTTCAGAGGCTTAGGAATATCCTTCTACAACAACGCTTACCATTAAACCTCTGACTAAGAATGATTATGTGCTATGTTTGGCCCGTCCTGTTGTATGGTGCGGAAACGTTTGTATTTTACATTTGATATACATTGGTATGTTTGAATATGTCATAAAGTAGGAAATGGCACCCTTGTTTTTTTTTAAATATCCATGACATTTTTTCATGGTTGTGCTAAAATCACTAATTTTTAATCAAGGAGCCTTAGAAAAATAGATTTGATCGTCTAATGTTGCATGGCACCCTCAGTATTTTTTACTTTATTCGATAGAAAATGACACTCTGAATCGAATAACATATCATATGTCAACTTTTGACATATTTGCTCAAAAACAAATTGTTTTTTAAATTTCAATCTACAGTACTATGGCTGTGTTAAAAACACTAATTTTTAAACAAAGAGCCTTGGAAAATATATTTGATCGTCTAATGTTTTTAGTGTCTTGTCCTAGCAAGTTAAAAGATGCCCAAACCTTATTTTTAATCATATGTCATTTTTTTCAAATGGAACGATCATTAGCATATTTGGAAAAAACATTATTTTACGAATAATTTGGTATTCCGAGTCAAATTGTCGTTGTTTGTAATGTTTGTTTATAATTTCAAATAAACCATAGCAAAAATGTCAGAAGTCGATATATGATATGTCATTCTATTCAGAGTATCATTTTCTATCGAACAGAGTAAAAAATACCAAGTGTATCATTTAAAAATCAAAGTTCTAGTAATTTCCGGTGAAACAGGAAGCGACCGAAAATAATTGAATACGTTAATTAATTGATTTGTGTCATAATACTATCAAAACCAAATCTCGTTTTTTAATCTGTAATAATAAAAAAAGCCACTGTTGAGAAACACACGGTATATGTAATATATATTATCAAATAGTGCATTTTTAAATATTTAGATTATAATATCTGTTAAGCAGAATTAACTCTACAGTATGTTTCATTTTCGCTATCCTCTCCAGGTATTCCGTTGTTCAAAAATGTTATCTCGGAAGTTATTAAAAATAAACTATAACTATATTGCTTTTGTAAAAGGAGTTTTATCCTAAATTATTTAAATAAAATAAAATGTCAATTAATAGTAAAAAAAGTAAGCTGCTTCCGGTTAAACCGAAAGTTGTACCAGACTGATACAACTGCTATATCAAATTAAATAAACAAATGTATACTTTCCAGCTAGAAATCTTTATACATCCAAATTTGTAATTAATCAAGATATGTCCTTGCAATAGGTGCATTGAGACACACAATTAGTATAGTACTAAGAGTGATGTTACTGCATTAGTACGTATGGTGACAATTTGGTGAAGGCAATATAAATTCAAAATTTAATTATAAAATACTTTTTATTTAATTTAAAATTATTATAGATAAATTATTTGTAAAAGACTAGAATAAAAAAATAATTAATTAATATTATCTACTGGATATCTGCATTAACACATCTTACTCCCTTCTTTCCACACATTGTTTTTAAATGGTGCTTTGTGATGTTACCACCTGGATGTTCATATTCTTCCTTTACATGTTCTAATAATTTACCTTTAAACACCACAAATAAATCATCAAAAAACAAATTTATTATTATACAGGGTGAGTCCTAAATAATTGCAAATATGTTCAGGGCTGGTAGATCTCGATAAAAGAAACATATTTTCTCTTTACCGTTTTTCAAATAAGTCCAAAATAACCGATTTATTTTACTTTAAAAATTTCCAAAACGAATGATTTTTGCTCAAATTTTGAGAACAACTAGGTTTTCTTTCTTATAAATTTAATCTACTACCTATGTCGCCATATTATCAACAAATTATGTTTTTTTTACTAAAAACTAAAAAAAAATCTAAAAATCTTCCAAAACAAAAAATTTCGCAAAAAAACCTTATAATCGTGTTTCTGGGGTTTAATTATACCGTATTATCGAAAAAAAAAACGATGTCCATTTGGCTTGGAAATGAACATCAATGACTTTCCCCATATAATTTTACATATAAAATGACAGCGATCTTCATTTCAAAGCCATCGCTGACGCCGTTTTTTTTTCGATCATACAGTACTACCCCTACAAATATTTGCACTTCTTTAAGACTCATCCTGTAAAATTTGTACAGGGTGTCCCAATATTCCGTAGACATGGAACTACTACGTATTTTTGGAATCAAAATAACTTCATTGTACACAATTTTCCTCTATACAAAAGTGCTTCGCTTGTCCGTTAGAGGGCATCAAACTTTAAATAAATAAACACATTTTTTAAAATATTTTATGAACCGATATTCCGATTTTAATAGGATGTTTTTTTTTGTTAAGTGATTTAACATTTGACTGTCACCAAAATCCAGATATAGGACAGGAAGGATGAAAACAACGAAAAACCCCAAGCCTACGTAAATTTCATTAGACATATTTTTTAACTCCGCTGACTACTGATTTTTTTTTTCGCGTAAAATGGTCCTTCTAGTATTTATCAATAAGTTAATAGTAAATATTTCTTGTCTCTTGTAAAAAAAACGGCACCGCTCATAATTTTCAAGAGAAATAAATGTTTTTCCGAAGCTGACTTACAAAAAAATCTTTCTTGACACATCAAAATATGTAGGCGCCTAAAATCTAGTATGCACTAATAATTTAGTTGGTAAAAATATGGAATTTTATGTTAGTATCACAATGGTATTTGACAATAAGCTTTATAAACTTTAAATAAATTACCGTTCTTTTCGATTGATGCCCCTTCTAACGGACAAACAAAGCACACTTTTGTATAGAGGAAAATTGTGTGCAATTAACTTATTTTGATTTAAAAAATATGTAGTTGTTCTACGTCCACGGAATTATGAGAATTCACTGTATATTGTGTAGGTTTACTTTGGGAAAAAAATCTCAATTTTTTATCAAAAGCTACGCAATGTGGCGTTTTTTACAGAGTCAAAAATTAGCAGAAAATACTAGGAGGACCATTTTACGAAAAGAAAAATAGTAGTCGGTGGAGTTGGAAAACTTTTCTACTAAAATTTACGTAGGGGTGGTGGTAGCTTTCACCTTTCATATACATTTTCTTGATTTTTGTGAAAGTCAAATGTTAAAGTTGTTAGGAAAATATAAGCACCCCAAATCTCGTGCAAATCGGATTATTGGTTCCTGAAATACCTTAAAAAATATGTTTATTTTTTAAAGTTTGATGCCCTCTAACGGAAAAACGAAGCACTTTTGTATAGAGAAAAATTGTGTCCAAGAAAATTATTTTGATTCCTAAAATAAGTAGTAATTTTATATCCACGGAATATTGGGACACCCTGTATATTATTGATAGTGTAATAGTAAATGTTGTTTTTTATTTTTGTTTTGGTATCTTGCAACACAATATTAATAAAATAAATACAATGAACGAAGATTAATGTAGAACAAGTCAAAATCAACATCCTAAATCCATACCTGAAATTTTCATGGTGGTTTTGCTGAGTGTATCTACATCACCAACTTCAAAGTTCTCCATAGCATCGTCAGACATGTTGGTTTTCTCGTGCTGTCTATCGTACACTACCAAAAATTGTTTGTCCATCGGAACACTGTCTTTAACCATACCATTATGAGGTGCTTTAGATTTCTTTGACGAAATGGTGGACTTGTTCTTTTCGTGATCCTTTTAACAATAATTTAACATTTAGTAAAGGGAATATTAAATCATTCAAACTTACAGCTTTCCGTTTTTCAATGAATTTTTCGTTCATTTGATTCCAAATTGCTTCTTGGAACTTGCCAGGTATATAGGAATGTTTTCTTTTTCTACTGCATTTGTGCGCCGCTTCACAAAGTTCAATGCTCGAAGGTTTTTTTCCTGTTTAATTTATAAAATTAGATATTATATGACGACAAATTTAAATGCTCCCAATTCCATTATTATCTATTTAATAAAATACATATAAAAGTTACAGATAATCACATCTTTAATAAGATTGTGTTGTCCATTTCTTTCCAAAGCCTGTCATTTTTGACATGATACAGACATATGTTTTTTAAAGTGGAAACCAGAGTTGGCCATGACTTCATAAAAAGCGCCTTTTTAAGCATTTCAGCGATATAAGCTATAAAATGTTTTTTTTTATGAAAAATCACTGAGTTATGGCCAATTCTTAATTTTTTTAAACAATTTCACTTAGTTAGCTACGGAAACAAACAAGTTCAATAATCATTGCTCTCAGAGATCTCAAACTGTCTGTCAGAGATGTACAAAAAATATTTTATGGAGACGCAAGTAAATTGTAAATGTGAATTTTTCAAATGAAGTGCGTGTGAGATTATTGGTTCAGCTCTTTTTGAACCGTATATTCTCGAGGATGCATTGATCGGTGAACGTTACTTACGCTTTTTAGAGAACGGTTTTCAAGACATGTTAGAAAAGTTAAATTTAGAGACTCGTACATCAATAGAGTAGTTTCAATATGACATTCAACGCTCCCCCTCATAATGAAAGAAACATTAAACAATATTTTATCACATTATTTAGGCAGAGTTATTTTATTCAGTATAAAAAAATATTTTTCTGCACACTAAATCTTGCTTTCCATAAATGGCGCTAAGAGTTCCAGAAGATGCGCTGTTTGATGTGCACAATTTTCATCACACATTCATGATTTATTCCACCTTAAATTATCAATCATCAAATTTAGACTATTAGACATGTAAGCTATATTTATAGGCTATATTACCCTGTAAATTACTTGTGATTTTAAAAATGCTATATTAAAAGTGATATTGTTTAAAAAATTTAAAAAAAGTGTTTATGATGTACCTGATATGACAAAGTAAAAATAATTTTTCAAGTAAAGAGTCAAGCTTGATTTTCATGCATCCGTTATACATTGGTACGTTGGTTCGACGGTGCTCTGATTGGTCATAGCATTTTCGCGCCACTTTTCATCCGTAAATATTTTACTTCAGCCGGTCAACGGACCCGTTCATACGATAACGGACGTTTTGACACTTTTTTGACAAATTTAATCTAACAATAATAAAAATATAAATAAAATAGCAAAATCGTTATGGAAACGAAAATATAAAATAACACCAACGTATATCCGATAAACTGAGGCATGAAAATGCAATAAATTTAAAAACTGCTTTATTTTCTAACCAATCAAAGTCTTTAAATTCTACCAATAAAATTAATATCGTATCAACGTATCGTCGGACAACGGATGCATGAAAATCAAGCTTTAGAAATAATACCTTATATAATTATATATGGTGGGAAAAAAAACGGTCGGGAAAAAACAGACCTTTCTATTTTTTTTTCGAATTAAT